GTTATTCCACAAGACTTGTTTCACTTCCAGAACCAGCTGTTCTGATAGGCAGCGATATCTCCCCAGCTTCCACAATGAAGTCATTTGTGAGCCCTTCTACTGAGATGCATGCCAAGAACAGTCAGGCTTTGCCTCATGTTTTCCACCTGTCTATGATGAAGACAAACCAAAAGTAGGTTATGATTTTTTTTGGGGGGGGGAGAAACCCCACAAACACACTAAGACAAGAGTTAAAGTCTAAGAACCATCTAAAACTTTATTTCGATCTCCAACAAGGTACATTACATGCAGATGCAAAACTGTTTGCTGCCCAACAGGTATGTTTAATCATTCAATAGTTAAAATCTTCCACTGGTGGGAAGAAAAGAAAAAAAAGGTTAGAGATTAGAAAAACTTTTTACTTCATAGAAGCAGTTTGTAGATCCTCTGGAAGCTGCACAACAACTTCTCAGCTTTTTCTTGGATATGCAGTTCAAGGTGCATTAGAAAAAAGCCAATACAAATGGCTCAAATTCTCAGATCATAAAAAGAAAAAAGTTGAGTCAGAGTACAGCTGCTGCCATGTTCTTGACAATTGAAGATTTGAGCTGAGGAATGAGGCTGATCTTGAGAAGCTTGCTGCTCGAGTACTTTTTCCTCACAGCCTACAGAGACAGATCCTCAAGGTCAGTCTCTACTCACACATGATATGAGCTGGTGTATTTATTCTCAGCCAACTCACCTGGAACTTTGTTTTCCCTTCATTTACCAGCACAACATTTTTGGCAATGTGCTGCATGATGGGCTTCAGGTGGGCCTCGTCATAGGTAGAGTAGTGCTGCTGTGTGGGAGACTGATGGGAGGTCAATTAACAGCCAGCTTGAAGGAGCAAGATGTTCATAAAAAGTGACTTTAAACTTACCCAGGGTAGGCCGTCCAGCAGCAGCTGGGAGAGGCAGAGGGAAGCAGCAGCGACCTCAGAGGGCCTGTAGTGCACCATATTGTAGTCGAGCAGGGTCAGCTCCATCAGGTACTTGGCCAGCGTGTGTCTCTCCCCATCAGACTGATAAACATGCACGTCAAGGTTTAAGATTCTTACAGTTTCTCTAACACCTTAGCTGCCATTTTTCTTTAATACAGAGTGATACACATGCAAGTTATGAATTGGAGGCAGGCAGCCGATTCCTACACTGTTGAAGTCTTCTCCACATTAAATTCATAATGAAACTCACATTTGCCACCTTAGATGCCCGTCTGAGAAAGTGCAGTGGGAGAGGACGCCCCAGCTGAAATTTCAGGCCCTTCAGAATCTGCTGCTCCATCTCGAGAATCTGAGATTTTGTAAAGGCGTTGTCGGTTATGTAGGCAAAGTCGCCAACCTCTGGGGCGTACATCTCCTCATACTTGCAGGCCACCAGCATGGCAGTCACACCGACAAGTTGCAGCTTCCTGCGAGACACTGGCTGGACCTGCAGCGTAACCAGAAGAAGCCTTTTAGATCCAGGTCACAAACCCATAGACAAGGCTGTTCAGAAACATCACCTGAAGAAAGCGGTCCAGAATGGCAACTGTGAGGTACAGAGTCTCCTGCAGCAGCTGGAACCTGGAGTGAACCTGGACCAGCCAGTCGATGAGAAGCGCTCGCATGCCATCAGTGATTTCGTAGCCCTGCATGTAGTTTGCTCGTACTGTCTGCTGCAACTGAGAAGACAAACTGATGTAAGTCAGAGACGACAGCAGCTGGTGTCAGAAGGTAGGGGAAGAAACTACCTCCAGGTTGTGCAGATACTTGTAGATATCCTTCACATATTCTGAACAGAGCTGTGGCTGGTCTGCATCCTCCTCATCCACGTCCTGCACCGCAAGCAGTGCCTCAGAGAAAGCCAGGCACAACTCAGTCTCCTCCTTCATGGACACATCAGTTGCAGATTCCTCCAAAACCAAAGGAAGAGGCTCTGTAGCTGCTTGGACTGGTCGAACTGCTACATCGGCAGGTTTAGCCACTTGGACACAAGATGGCTTGGCTGACACTTTTGTCTGTCCTGTTCTCTAAGGAAACAAGTTTGGAATCATTACAGTTGGGAAATGCAACACAAGTCACTAATAAGACTTTCAGATTGGACAGGAATAAAATTCTGTTCAACTATTGCGACCTTCCCTTTTGCAAACCACTAAGGGGATTTCAGTCTGCTGCAAGGTTCTTGCTTTGGCTCAGCTAAACCAGTTGACAAGGTTTGTGTTTATTGCAAAAGACACAGACAGATGAAGTCTGGGTTGAAAGTCAGCCAGTAAAACTACTTCTAGTCTAGCAGGCATACCAATAAATCAGACCTCTATAAGACTTTATTGCCTGCTTACCAAGTGACTGCAAAGCAGACAAAATGAGTCAGGAACCAAACCAAGATGCTCTTACCTTTGTGACAGTCACTGCTGCGTTAAAGTTGGTAATCTCTCCGAGAGCTGCTCTCCTCGGACCCGCTGCTGCGGCGGCTTTCCCCGGTTTCTGCCGGTTCTCTGCGGTTAGGAGCTGCTAACGAGACAAACATGCACATTAAAAAGGCTTGACCGACTTTTCTACAGCGTGTTTAACATTACTGAAACGATAGCGTTATTATTGCAGCGCGAGCATCAACTAGCCAACAGCAGCGCTTCTCTAGCAAACAAAAGTCTTTTTACTCACCACAGCACGAACTTCCACAGACATGTTTACCGTGGGCAGCAACGAGGATACAGAGTGACCAAGAACAAGCAAAAGAGCATATAATTCAGACTAACAGAGGACAGTTTCCCAACAAAATCCGTAAACAGTTATTTCCGTAGCTAAACAACACAGCGACGAGCAGATTTCAAATAGTTGTCCTCTAAATCTGATTGGATGTAGCGATTTCGTTCGGACGCTTGTGATTGGCTAGTGATTTCAGGTGGGAATTAAAGCCATATGAGCTTTTAAAGTGCTCGGTAACCTTATCTCACAGTCATCGCTTCATCTACAGTAATATAGCGCCAGATAGTAGATTTATAGCAAATGCTAAATAATACGTAAGCAAGTCTTATGCCTAAAGGCAACTGTTGTTAAAAACTGTGTACGAAAAGTCCCTGGTTTGGGACCTGACGAAGACACAAACCCCTGTGGGGCAACCCGCTGTAGCAATCCCTTTTACTGCTTTAGATTCCTTTTTAAAAAAATGATATTTTTATTAGTCATTTTGTTTTACATTCAGATAACAAAGAGTGTATTTGGTGGCTTGACAGTGTATACATAATGCAGCATGTTTAACTTATTTACATAAAGTACATCAATACATTATGAAGTAGAGGGTCGACCTACAATACATGAGAGATACACCAGTTCAGGGCTGGCCTTACATAAATTCAGGGCAGAGGGGGGACACAAAGCTAATCCATTCATTCCATATTTTGTAGAATTTGTCTTCGAATTTTTAAGGAAAATGTCAATTTTTCCATTTTAAATATTTCAAAAACCACATTAAAGCAATACTTAGATGTTTGCTTTAGATTCCATTAATTTACCTTCTTACTATACTTTCATTCAATGTGAACATGGAAACACAAACAGCATCCATAGACACTACAAGCTGTCTGTAGGTAACTCTGCATGTCTGATTTGGCAGATATTGCAAAGAATCAGAATCAGAATACTTTATTAATCCCAGACCATATTATGTGCTCACAGTTGCTCCAAGACAGTAAAAACCTTAAATTAAATAATACAATACTTTACTAATTTGGAAAAAAAATATAGCTCTAATGTATATAATAGCTCAATTATAAATATCTCAGTATATAACAAAAATTAAATATATAAGGTTGAAATTAAGCTGTACAGGATGTGCAATAGGGCATAACTATTACAGTGTGTACTGTGCATTAGATGGAGGAGTTGTGCAGGGAGATACCGACAGACAGGAATGATCTCCTGTGTCGTTCTGTGGTGCATTTGGGCAACGTAAGTCTCTCACTGAATGTGCTCCTGTGATAGGCCAGCACATCATGGAGCGGGTGGGTGGTCTTGCCCACCTTTGTCCTTGGACAACAGACCTGATAAGCCATGTTATGTGTATGTATGATCTGGCAATGTTCCAAACCGCCTAAACACGTTTATTGTGCACGAGGTGACTGCAGAGGAAAGTCTGTGACAAGCAACCTTTAAAAGTTCTCATTATTTGCAAGAAAATATGAATGATTTTCAAGATGCCTTCAGACTCCACTGTGTTTTCCATGTGGGCCAGGCCACGTTTGACACAGAAATACATGCATTTTTATTAAATATTAAAGCTGCAACCCAAATTTGTGAACTTCAAATTAGAACCACATTTGAAACCTTACGTGTCGTATTTTACGTTCCTTTAAATCAGCAAAATAAGTGACTGATGCAGAAGTATTGAATCACCTTCATGTTTACTTGGGCTGGTATTCTTCTGATCTGTCAACCACTGGCATAATGAAATTATCTCCCTATTAGGAGCTTAAACATGAATCCACAGTCACAGCATGTCACAAAGCTGACCACGTAATCATACAGCACTGCACTCGCTTACTCTTTATTTGAGCATCCCTTAAATCAATTCAAGTCATCTTATAACCACAGATATGGAGAACACGTAGTACAAAAATGCAAACCCCTGAAGGACGGCTGAATAACAAAATGCACTTTGCCATGTGATGTTACTCAAGCCACAAGAACCCATGCAACAGGTTGCAGGGGTTAAATTGTCCCAGTGTGACTTTTAAAAGAAAAACAAAAACCAGGTGGCATTTTCTATTTTCAATTCCACTTCTTGATCTCACAGCGTTTCATTATGCCACAGCTGGAAATGGCCTATGAAAATGTCCCTTTGTTGAGATGGCACAAAATAAAGAACCCAGATGTTTTAAGGAATTGCTGAATCGATGGGGTCCAAGGGTAGTGAAAGGACCAACAGATTCTCTTTGTTCAGTTAGTTATAAAAACAAAAAACAAACCCAAAACACATCACTTGTGTTCCCATGTGCTCCAAGCACAGCAGGGTATAATGTACCACTAATTTTCTGCAACCATGAGGCAATTGCTTTTAACTTAAGGGCAGGAGGCATCTAGTTTTCCTCCATATGCTCCTAAATGAGGGTACATCCAATTAAAATAAAAATGTCCACCATACTTTATTAGCTTTTCAAGGTAACTCTTGTATAAGGTGACACAGGTATTGAGAAAGACACAAACCATCTAATGGTTTCTGTTACAAGTCACCTCTACAACTGAAACAATGAATTCAATGGTCGTTTCCCCTGTTAGGGGTGAAAATTTGATCCAGTTCTTAGCAAAGGCAAAAGTCCCTTTGACAAATGCACATTTGCATAAAAATGAACTATATTTGAATGACACAACATAGTTACTTTAACAGACCCGTGAGGTAAAAGGTCAAAAACACAGAGTGATATATCACACACTGCTGATCGGCAGGATAAAGTGTATGAAACAACAAGCTGAACTCGGTTCTACTGCGTATTCATTTGATCTCTTTCTAAGCTGGTGCAGCCCTCCACAACAGTCCTAGTTTCTTAAGTGGCCTCTGAAATTTAAATGTTTTAAATCCTTCCTCCGGGGTATCTTAATGGAGCTGTCCCAAAGATTCATGGTGGAAAAAAAAAAACACTTAAAGCTGGTGTTTCCCATTAATCCGCTAGCCACCCATTTAGCATCTTTAATTCATGAAAGCACTAACTGTTAAAAAAGGCTTTAATACTTGAACAAATGGCAGTATCACAGAGTTTCAAGAAAAACATACACTGCTAACAGAGGCTGCACCGCCACATCATCAAAATCCCACTTTATTACCTGTTGCTTTGATTTTACTGTTGTGAAAGACGTCCAACCTCCAACAGAGCAAGAACAAAGTCATGTCGGGTGGTGGTTTTCTCTCATATTGCATGGTTATGGAATGTAAATGTAACTGTTACGTAAATGGACAAAACACAATCCACACACACGTCGGTTTCCTGAACCAAAGTAGGATGAAGAGGAGACAGAATGAAGCTCTGGCCTTATTATTTATTCTATAGTTCTTCCCTGCGGTGTGGATGGATTGGCTGAACGGCAGAATCAGTTGCCATTTTGGTTCATCTGTAGATACTCGTTGTGTAACTTTTCTTGGGTCTCGTAGAGCTTGCGGAGCTTCTTGGCTTGACCTTTGCTGAGCTCCTTCCCTTCAACGTCATGAGTGGGGAAACCCTGTTAACGGCGACAAAACCAAACACACCTTTAAAGCTTTTCAGGTTGACACGGTTTGTGAGCTGTCGTTTCCATGGTAACTTTTAAATTACCTTTCTGAATTTTCCTCAAGTTCTGACGCACACACAGTTACACTGGATGCGGATGTCATTTCAAATAAGGACATTCATGTCTGTACAAGCAAATCCCCGTGAGCTAGGTCTTTCCTACTCTTGGATCCGCATCACGTCACTGACCTCAGGCACACGTCTAGCTGTGAGCACCAAATCCCCACTTTTATTGCTGTAACTTCATGATTTCGCGGCGTGGGATCGTTGGCCCCGTGACCACCTCACGACCTGGAGTACCGGGTGCTAATCTTTGTCTTTGCTTTCCTCGATATCCCAGGTTTTAAGCCCTCGGCAACAGATTCCTGAGGTCATCAGGGCCCACGAGCCTCACCACCAACATGGCACCAGCTTAACAGGTTCTTCTCATGAAAAATTAAGCATGGGAGGTAAAATAAGGATTTACCGTTTCATCGAATTTTGAGTATTTGTCTGTTTCACTGCGAAACATTTCGCTTGCAGGGATCTTCATCTTGGCCAGTTTCGCCATCTGCAACAGTAACAGAAACATGAAGATTTCCCTGATGACACAAACGTAGAAGGTCACTGTCTATATAAACCATCAGACTGACCTCTTGCTCCTGTTTCTTCTTAGCAGCCTCTAGCTTCTTCATTTTCTTCTCTTCTTCCATCTGTGAAAGATGGAATTTTATTGTGTGAAATGTTTTAAAACACATGTTTGCATTTTTAAAAAACAATTTTACATTAAAATGAAGGCTTGCAGTGGACTTCTGTTAAAATTGTAAATCAGCTAAGAATTTCTTTTGTCTGAACAAACTAGCTGTTAGATGTTGAAATGCCCGTCCTTATATCCTTGGAAACTCAGCGTCCTTCAGTTTTGGGAGGGGGCACTTCTTTTTTCTGGCTTATCGTTTACTTTAAATTGGGATAAATTATCTCCTGTCAATCTTAGGACCCAAACTGCTCCAGACATGCACTCGATGTGTGATGATGTCTTCTCTTACCCTCTTCTTCTCCTCTCTCTCCTTCAGTAATGTCTCCTTGTCCACTAGCTTCACCACAGTGGGCAGGCCTGCAACACAACCACTTTATTTTCCAACACTCTTCACTTTGTAAGAACGAAACAAGGTCAGAACTTTTTTACATTCTTACGAAGAGAGTAAAGGCTCGGATTTATTGAGCAGGGCATCTTACTGCGCTGCAGTCATAAAGATGTGATGAATGGAGCGGATAATGATTTCGTGACACAGACGTAGCCAGTTTATTCCAGTAATAACTAACCCAGTCCACAGACGGCTGCGCAAAGGAGGCAGACCTGATGAGGAAGATCAAAACCTGAGCCGATTCTTTATCTCTATAACTTCAAACACAGACATCTTACCTTCGTGATCTTCCAGACGCACTCCGAGCTCTGGCAACATGTCGTCACGGACAACATCGCAGAGCTGCAGCAGCTCTGTCACTGAATAAGTAAGAAAAGAAAAAAAAGAAGAAGAATTTCATGTTTCAGTTCTCTCTGATTCAACATGGAGGTGATGTTTTGAGTTATAAAGTAAACAGTTTCGTTTAAAGCGCATGTTCTTACCTTTCTGCTCTCGAGCAATTTTGCGGACGCGCTCTCTAAAATCTGACAGCACTGTGAGGTATGGCATCACTGCGCTCTCCAGCTGTGGACAATTAAGGGGAATTTTTCATATGCAGTACATTTCTCATAATAATAATGCCACAAGAGACACAATTCAATCACAAAAAGTGAAAACCAGTTCACTTACATCAACACTCTGACTCTGTCCACCCATGGGAAAACCTATGGGGTCCGATCCTTCAACTGCACCAAATATCTAGACAACAACAAAAGTTTCATTTGAAGGGTTTGTTAGGCATCTCCACACTGGTTTTGCCCAGTAATGGAGTTGTTTCTTAACTTGGAGAAGTAACAAAGTGTATCACATCCACTTTCATGTGTGTGAATGGATGAATGAGGCATGTTGTATAAATGAGATAAGAACAAACAGCATGATTTCTCCTCCATACAGGATCAAGGTGTTCTGTAAAATTCATTATTCTGAGAGCTGTGAAACGATAAACGCAGCAGCAGAAACGTGCTCACCTTCAGCATGTTGGTGAGGTACGCAGCAATACTTTCCATCAGCATGCGGTTGGGCCTGAGTTTGGCGCTCTTCTTGCTGGCAATGTAACCGTTGCTTTGGCTGACCAGCGTTCTCATCTCCTCCATGGCAGTGCGGGTGTCCACGTTGTCACACAGAGCCTCGTGGACGGCAGACTTCCTGTCACAGAAACTACACAACACAAGTCACTTTTTAGTTTTAAGTATGAATGAGTTGTGTTTGCACGCACACAACTCTGAAAGTGCAAATTTTGATGAAGAACAACAAACGGGTCTTCTAATCTACCGAGTCGCTCTCTCACCTGTTGTTGAGCTCCACCTCTGCCGTCTCCCACTTCTCAAACTGACCGGTGATGTCAGTAGGCGCACGCAGGATGTCTTTCACATTCAGGAAGAACTCCTTGCAAATAGAATAGAATAGAATTCAACTTTATTGTCATTGCACATGCACAGGTACAGGGCAACGAAATGCAGTTTGCGTCCATCCAGAAGTGCTTTAGTGATATAGATATATTACAATATATATTAGCAATAATATAGATATGTGAGTATATTACAGAAATGGGTCTATTATGGTATGTTATAATGTACACGGTATGAAGTATGTTATGAATATGCTATAGCTATAAGTATGTACAGGCTGTAGTGAGTACAAGCTACAAATAACAAACAAAACAAAAACAGACAAATCTTCCAACACTGTCTTTGTTCTTGCTTTCACCTACATTCATAAACTTCTCGTACTGGACGGCTGACTCCATCGTGTTAGAAGAATAGTCCAGAGTGTCCTTCCAGGAATGCATCAAGAAAGCCAGACGGAGCTGACGTGCTGCGTGGAGACAAACAGTGAGACCGTTAAATAGTTCTAATCTAACTGAAGAACTTAGTGTTCATTATGGATAATGTGTTTCTCTTCAGATATAAAATAAGTAACAACTGCTGTTGGGGTGAGAGAGGGAACCATTGCATTCAATAATAATTAAATGCAAAGTGGTGTATAAACAGATAATAAGTGAAAAAGTATGTCTGAAGAAGAAACACCCAATGCATCATGGGAACCCCAGCAGCATTCAGTTTGCTGTTAAAATGATGATTTTGGCTTTGAGCTGTGACAGTTTGTGCAGCCTCATAGCTGGAAAAACTCCCTGACAGTTTATTAATGGTGATGTATGCTCAAGTGATGCAGTCTACAAAGCAGGAACACATGTATCACCTGTGTTCTTCGCCAAGGCGTCCTTGATCGTGATGAAATTCTTCAGAGACTTTGACATCTTGCAGCCTGAGATTGTCAGGTGCCCGGTGTGCAGAAAGTACTGGACCCAGTAATCGTTCTCAAAGAACGCCTGTAAGCAGCACAAGCAACTGTGGTCAAAACAGGTTTTACCCTTCATCACTGGAAACGGCTTTAAACACATTCAGGATGTTTCAAAGTGTGTGTTACGTCAGGCATTTACATAGTAAACAGGAACACATTTTCTGCAACAGTTACCTCTGACTGAGCCAGCTCGTTGTCATGATGAGGGAATCGCAGATCAAACCCTCCCCCGTGGATGTCCATCGACTCGCCCAAGATAGAGCCAGCCATGGCTGAACATTCAATGTGCCACCCGGGTCTTCCCTGTCACAACATTCAAAGAAAACACCGATGACTTCCTTTCTCAGAAGTACAAATTCTCCTTCCATTTCACAGAGCCTCAAATGACACTTTCACGTTTATATAAAAGAAAAGCTTTAAATGCAAAGGATGATCACACGGTCTTTAAAGTCTCTGAAAATGAAGGCTCACCTTCCCCCATGGAGAGCCCCATGATGGTTCTCCAGGCTTGGAGGCTTTCCACAATGCAAAGTCATTCGGTGACTTTTTCTCACTTAGTCTCTCTGCAGAAATGCTCAGATCTCCTACAGAGCCAGGAAAACAACGACAACAGGTTAAAAACTGAACATTGTACTTATTCTCCACTCAAATATTGGCAGGAGGGAAATCTTGGTGAATCTCTTCTGCTCTCACTGAGTCAAGCACTGAAAATCCCCGACCTGTTGTCTGTTGTCGGGCATGTCTGCACCTGTTGTGTGGTGCTTGTTTTACTTTGACAAACTGAGTAAGTGTACCTTCTCCCTCTTGTAAAGCTTTCTGATCGCCGACCGCCTCCGGCACCAGTTTAGCGTACGAGTGCTGCGGGCTGGAATCAAACTTCAAGGTGTCAAAGTATACTGAACCGTTTGACTCGTACCTGCAGACACCAGAGAAACAAGTAACTATAGCGACAGCGATGCAAGCAGTTCGTTCGGTACGACACAAATCGTGAACAGCGGCAGCATCTTCCTCACCCATAACCATTTGAAACTATTTTCCTCACAAACTCCACGATCTCGGGCACGTATTCACTGACTCGAGTAAGGACATCAGGGGGAAGAACCTGTGTGCCAAAATGACAACTTAAATCCAGTTACAGCAGGAAAATGCTGATAACAATGATATTTTAGACATAGTGTCCTTCCAGTAACAGAAGTTTGGACAGAGCAGTTTCAGCCATTGTTATCTCAGAAACGGTAACGTTCAACAACACAAGTAAAACTGAACAATTCATAGAAAAAGTTTCTTTACACATGTTGGATTTTTACAGGGGGCGTTTATTTAATTCCTTTAAGAGATTTTCTCAGAAAATCATTTGGCTTTTTTATACTTACATTGAGTGCTTTCATATCTTTGTGATAGTCTTCTTCCCAGTATTTAGGGAGAAGGGAGAAGATGGAATTCTCTGTGACGTGACTTCCGAATTGTTTGTCCAACCAGTCTGCCAGCAAGTCCTTGGAATTCTCCAACAACACCTTGGGGAAGAAAAGACAATTTAATTGGACTTGTTGAGCTCATTTCCAGCTCCACACTTTTATTCGTGGTCACTATTAACAGAGTAGTTATCAGTTCCCAGAGTCAGAACCAGACACGGAGAAGCTGCATTCAGCTTTTATGCTCCTTATATCTGGAACAAACTCCCAGAAAGCCTCAGATCAGCTGAAACACTCAGTTTATTTAAATCCAGGCTGAAGACTCACCTGTTCTCAGCTGCATTTGAATAAAGCACCAAATCCACACTTTTAAGCTTAAATTTCAAAACTTACATTTAACTACTGATTTTATCTACTGTTCTGATTTTATCTGTTTTGATTTTATAAACTGTTGTTTGTTTGTTTGTTTGTTTGTTTGTTTGTTAGTTAATTAGCTAGTTAGTTTATTTGCTTGTTTTAATCAATTTTAAATCACGCTTTTTATTTGTTCTTGTTTCTAATGTCTCTGTAAAGCACTTTGAATCACCTTGTTGTTGAATTGTGCTATACAAATAAACTTGCCTTGCCTAGTTTTGCAGGATTCTAGTGATACAACGATCCTTATTAGTTCTTGGTGCAGACCTGGTAAAACTGGGTGGAGTTCCTAGTTGGAACTCAGATCAGTCACACTAACCCTGAGTTACTAATCCCAAATGGTGGCAGTGAATACAAGCAGTAGTAAAGCTAATCTGTCCTCCCACTGTTGTAAATGTAGAGCACTGACCATCTATCCATGAATCTGCTGCAGTTATTTTGGAAGCACAAAAAGCAAACAAAAAGCAAACAAAAAAAGCATTTTCTGTATTTCTAGTGATATTTCTCTGAAGTTGCCACCACATCAGAGCAGACTCACGTGTGCCAGAGGTCGTATGACTTCATCTGCGGCTTTGCTCTCCATTGCTGCTTGCAGCGGTTGCAGACTGGCTGTAACTGCACTGTCCAGCCTTTCCAGCATCTGCTTCTTGTCCGGGTCTGTGGTGGAAGCCAGCTGGGCCTGAAACGGCTGGAATTGGCAGAATAACACACAGAAATCCACAGAAATTAAAAAACAAACTTTCAGCTTGTCTCTGTTTTTAGATAGAGCTGAAGCTTGGACTTCTACTAGCTACAGTACAGGGTGTACTGATGCTTGTGTCTATAAAGTCTAGTGTTTGTGCATGCTGTGGTTAACCAGCTGCTACTTCACAAACACTGATACAACCCATAGGGAAACCAACAGAGCCTGCCGATGGAGCAGAGTTGTTGTAGGAGGAGGTTTGCAACTAGATCTTCTGATATTATAAACTCAGTGACATAAATGTTTAACATTAACGCAGTATTTATCTGTTTTACTAAGTACTGCACAGTTCTGTTTTGTGTTATTTGAATTATCTGCCTCGCTAAATAATGACCAATAATCTCCAGAGAGATACATGCTGTGCGATCAATGAAAACAAAGAGAGAAGATTTACACCATCACTGTCAGATCAATAAGTACTTCACACAGGTGCAGTGCATCCAGGGCTTAAACCTGTCTCACCGTTCTGGCGCTGAGCACATCCTGCAGTATTTGAGCCGCTTGTGGCTGTTTGTCTTTGTACTGGTCCAGAAGGTAATTCTGCCGGGCTCTTTTAATGATCTGAAAGAAGAATATCCCAATAATAAACCAAAACAGCAGAGTTTGCTTATTCCAAAAGTTCAAAAGCATTCTGCATGTATTGCAACATCAGCTCCATAGTAGGACAGTCTGGGTGCTAAACTGGCCTGTCCTGTAGTCCTGACGCCCGTTTAGCCCATTACAAAACAACAAATACAAATCAGCTCCTAATTTTCTGAGCAGCTGAAAACCTGCATGTGTACATTTATGTTTTCCCCCTGTCTAATTAGGTCATCACAAGACCCTGAATTCCTGCCATAACTTCTCAGAGACATGTCAGCTTACAAGCTGAACCTGTTTTTACCTGCATGCCTATAAACACAGACAGATGTGTGAACATGTGAATGTTAACAAGGACCTTGCACTTATTTCAACAGGGCTGCATTAATCATTACAGACACAGATGAGCTTGGACAACCCATCTCCCACATTTCATGCAAAAACCTTTATTAAAAAAAATTTAAAACATCTAAAACACATCAAAGCAGACTTACTTTGTCATCTATGTCTGTAATGTTCATGCAGTAGATCACATCATACTTGAAGTAGTCCCTCAGTATCCTTCGCAGAATATCAAAGGATATGTAGGATCTGCATAAAGCAAATTATTCATTAAAATGTTGTTGTAATAGAAAAAAATATAACAGTCTCGCTATATGAAGGATCATTTCCAACCCAGAATTTCAGTGCTTAAATTCCTCTGATCTTGCGTACCTGGCATGTCCCATGTGGGAGGCATCGTACACTGTAGGACCACAGCAGTACCATGTTACTTTATTCCCTTTCTGAGGAACAAACAGCTCCTGAAACATGGAGGTTGTGAACTTAAATGAGGATAACAAATACTTTAAAATAAAAAAATCTGATAAAAATGTATCTTACTGGTGGCAGCGGTATTTTTAAATGCAGTGTAATAGAAACGAGAGCCACAGCGAGAGATTAGGTTGCATAGGTGGTTATATTTCTACGTTTGTTTTTTCAGTCGAGACTTCTTCCTGATCCAGAACAGTCTGGTTGTGCCAGACTAACGGAAACCAGTTGTGTGTGCATGTGGCAAAATGCAAGCAGACTATAAAAATATGCATTAAATCTACAAATGTGAAGTGAAAGTGCTGCATTCTATACCAAGAATGAGAGCACATCTGTCACAAGATACATCAGTCAAAAGAAATGTGACTATAACTTCTTTAAACCATACCTGGATTGCATACTTTGGAAAACCGTGAGGCTTTAAATTCTGTCACTATTAAAAACTTGAATGAAATAATCTAAATATATATGCATTCTTTCTTTTTATAAGTTGTACAGTAACGATCACAGACTCTTTAGAATTGTGTTTGCTTCAGTGGTTTGGCCCTGCGTCAGGCTGCCCACCTGTCCAATGGATGACGTGCACGGTCATACTTTTATTCCCATGTCTGCTCCTACATACGTTTCTATTGCAGCTCCAATTGTTAGTCACAAATGTGGGCGAAACGCTCACAGTTACATGGCAGAAACCGAGAGCTACAGATGCTTCGTGTAATAAACGAAGCGCCAAAGCACAAAATTTGCATCGATTATTTTTTAAGTTATTCGAGTTACTCGGTGAATTGTTGCAGCCCCTTATTAATCCCTTGTAACTTTAACAGGCCTCATGATCTTAATTTGCCTGCAAATCATAGCTTATCGTTTCAATTTCACATCACTGCATGAGTATAAATAAAACTGACTCTGTCCAGCCTGTGGCTGTATATACATTGAGGGATGCGGTATCTAATGTAGCGACTTCACGAGGACCTCATTTCCCAGCAACACCAGCACTTATGTGCGCTTTACATTCGTCTCTACCTTTGCTCTTGTCAGGCTGTTGTAGAGTCGCAGCTGAGGAACATCTGTTCCTGCTGGTGGAGACCAAGGAGGCTGGACACGCTTTCCTTTGACTAAAAAAAGAAAGGAACAAGGGACAATTTCAGTTTTCACATCATAAGAAAAGGGGTTCTACCTCTGTCGAAGCTATTCATATGGATGCTTTGGTGACATCATGTTCCATTAGGGCTAATTAATAAGACTAATCAATAAAGGCTACCAATAAGACAGTGACTCAGAGCTCACGTCAGATAACATGAGACAGTGAAAGAGCAAAGAACTGATGCCCAGTGCTGTGATAATGGTTCAAAAACTGTGACACATGTAAATGGATTTATTTTTGCTTGAAATAGTTAAAGTAAAGCAATGACAGAAATCTGTTATAGGTTCTAGTGCAGTGCTGAGGAGTGTGATATTTCAACAGTAGTTAACAATAAATATTCTCATCATCCCATTCTTATCAAAGACACACAATAAAGTTTCCTCTTCATCAGTGTCAACGAAAGAAAATATTTCCTCTTTAGTCTGAACTTCTGTCACTGTGTCGACCTACTGAGCTTCAATTTCCAGTCAAATATTTGCTCAAAGGCAGGGTTCAACATCCACACAGCGCATCAGAAAAAGAGTTGATGCAGTCTGCTCAAAGGGAAAGCACAAGTACTGTTCGCAAGCAGTGCAACCCTGCTAGAATATGGAATCTAAAAATAGTTAGATACCCCATATGATTAGTTAAAAAACAACTTCAAGTGGACACATTGTGCTTAAGATTGCTAATGGTCAACACGTTTATTTAACATGGCCAGAGTCACTGGTCATAGCTGGCGAACATATCCTTGATAACCCTCTTTTCTTTTAGAGCGACCAAAAGAAGCAGGTAAGCCCAAGAACTCCCCAGGAAACTCCACTGAGGACACAGAGTGAGGGAGGCTGCTGTCCCCAGAAGTCTACAGAACCAGAAGTCTTTTAACAACCACATGGTAAAAATTAATTTTTTAAAAATATACAGTTTTGAAGCATTTCTGGTTTTGCTTCACCTTTCAGACCCCAAACTTACATCTATCGTGTCTACTGTGTCCTTGTAAAGAAGAATGGAATTTTCCAGTAACACAGCAGAGTTAAATGGAAAGTGAAGGTGAAAGAAATGAAGGAAATCTAGACATCCGAGACTGGCACAGCATCAGGTGAGCAAAACAACACACTGGAGTCCCCGGATAAAAATACAGCGATGAAAGTGAGCGTAATAGGTCAAATTTACTATTTACTGGCTTTTTTAATAAGAGTTTCACTCCCACTCACATCAGCCACGTAACCAAGTACGCTCTTACGCATCGTTTAGATTAATAAATAAACATTTCTGTGTTCTATCATCAGTTACTCTTTCTTTTCATGATGTTTTACATTTTTTGTAAAGTTGTCCTTATTAATATTACACTATTTAGCCAGGTATGGGAACAAAGAGTATTTGCCTGTGGGGTCTTCACCAGCTGTTGCTGCCGTGTTTACACAGCGATAACGCGAGTCTCCTCAGCGCTTAGCTGCAGGTACCACACACATCAAGTTGCTATGACTGACAAGCTAAAACAGAGTTCATTCCAGTGCCTGCAAAGGAAGCCTTAGTTCATGCTGAGAGTCAGTTTGTTTAAGAGGGCATGTCACAGCCTCAGAGTGCCTCCACATCCACGGCCAGCAGGCGCAGGACCACATCTAGCCTGTTCATGCCTTCAGCTTTCTACTCACTGCTGCTTTCTGGGTTGAGGTCCTGTTGCAGGGCTGCTATGTGTCTGTACCAGCGCAGAGCGTGGACATGTTGTGGATCTGGGGGTCTGTGGAGGAGCTTAAAGGCTTTCTGGTCGACCTGGGTGGGGCTGAACCCAGCCAGGTAGCTGCGTGAGGTTAGGTAGTCATTCAGGGCCACTGTCAGTGCAGCCTCCTCACTTATCTGTAGCAAGAAGCCATACTCAAAGGCTGCAGAAACAAGAGGGCAAATGTTCGCAAAGAATTACCACCTTACTCCACTGGACAGTGGAATAACCAATGAGACTAATGACTTTGGTCAGAGCCAAGAATTACTCGATCAGTTGGAAAGTCAGCACACGTCCAAAGTAAACTGCACTTATGAGTGAGTTAAATGAAACTACTCGCTACCCAAACATAGCCTAGCAGAACTAATGCTGAATAACACTGGCCTTTAGCCACTCACAGAGAACCTTATATATGTATAAGAAAACAAAAGAGGTGCAAGCACTGAGTGGAAACAGGAGAAAGCAAAAGATGGAGAAAAAAAATGTAATTAAGGGTGCAGGTTACATGTCTTATAGAAGCAACCCGTGATTTTCATACTGTGTGACTATTTGAGCTGTAATTCTAACTGCAGGTCAACAAGTATTTGGACAGGAACACATTTTATATCAATCAAGGGGCTGAAAATAAATACAGCAAATATATTGGTAAAACTGTTAATGTTACCAATGTTTTAAAGGGTCAGGTTTCACTGGTTTAAAGGTAAATTAGGAACGTACTAATAAGCAATTTCTTAGTTATTTTAGGTTCATTTCCTTCTTAACTTGAAGCTGAAAGTCTGCACTTTAATCACACCTCGACTGTTTTATTTCATTGTTGTGCTGTATAAAATTTTAATTCCTGACCTGAGAGTAAAAATCACAGTAAGCACTTGAAAACGTTAACAGTGTTTCTCATAACAGGCTAAGTTATACTACTACTACTAGTAGTAGTAGTAATAATAATAATAATTTCAATGCTTTCCATAAACCTTTGTAAAAATATCAAACAAAAAGGCGATACTGTCGGATGCTAATAATTTTATTAAAGATGACACGAAAGAAGATGGAACTTAAACCCGAACATAGACTTAAACAAACCACAGTTCAACAAAAACGCCCCACACATCACACAGGAATAGGTTCACTAAAACACTATAAACAAATAAAAGAGAATAAACTGTAGTTACTTCATAACATCCTGTTTGACTGGACAAATGAGCCGAAGATGAGGCTACCTTTTTTAAACGCAGACAAATTGCTAAATAGTATTTGCTGCCCTGTGTTTATGCCGAGGTATTAAGTATTAGTTTAAGCTGTATTTTTTTATATGAAATTCGGCTTGTCACTCATTGACAGTGTTTCCTTTAGCTAAGCGGCTCAACTGCAGACTTTGGGACACAGCTCTACATATTAGCTAGCCTGAGCGTTAGCATATTCGCTGTGACACTTCATCAAAATGCGTTAGGTTGTGCTGTCATAGCTTTATGCGGTTTTTCAACTAACGAACCCATAAAGCAAACACCATATATTATTTACTGTACCCGGATCACCCGACGCCGACATTGTCACAGTAGTCAAAGGCTGGATGCTGATGCAACAATAACGTGCCCGGAAGAAGAACCCGTATAAACGACGGTAGGAATAGGAACCAAAGTGTTTGAACCTGAGAGCTGGCGGACATAAATGATGGTACACTCGTCAAAGCGGAAGTTTAGACAATGTTTTTTGTTTTTGTTCTGTGTGTGTGTGTGTGTGTGTGTGTGTGTGTGTGTGTGTTTAAGACACTGGAATGCAATGCAATAAAATAAAATACTATATACAATAGAATAAAATAGAAATACAAATGCTATATACAACTGAGTAAGAAAATACAAAAGTACAACTTCGTCAGAAGAAGAATTGTACAAGAATTGCACATATAGCAGTCTTATTGCACATGTGAGGGTTTGATCAGCTGCAAAAGTCTTTGTTATGGAGTCTGACAGCAGTGGGGAGGAAAGACCTGCGAAATCTCTCCGTCCCACACCGTGGGTGCCGCAGTCTCCCACTGAAGGAGCTGCTCAGTGCTGTCAGAGTCTCTTGCATGGGGTGGGAGATGTTGTCCAACAGGGATGACAGCTTAGCCGCCATTCCCCTGTCACTCACCACCTTCACTGGGTCCAGAGGGCATCCTAGAACAGAGCAGCATCCTAGAACTTTTAAGGAAAAGTTGATGATCAATCAAGCTTAAGTTATATGGGCACGAGCTGGAAAAATTTTTTAAAAATAATTTCTTGGAATGTGGTTTTAAATCTCAGTGGAAAAGTACCGACATTCTATAGTTAAACAGAATCTGAAAAAAAGAAAGAAAATAAAAAATATATATCTAGTTTTTGTTGCCTACATTGTAGACTCTACATTGTAGAGGGTGACGTTGCCTTTAAACAGGGTACAGTCAGGGGTTAAAGTGGGATTCAGCAGGTGGAGGAACCCTAAAATTGGCTGTAATGGCTCAATGTGGGGAAAAGTATAATAACACAATAACTTCTATTGAGAGCTCCAGTATATTTTCTTAGTGTATAGGCTGTGATCAGATGACCTGCTGCTCTTTGTGGATTTACACAAATTAATTCAACAAGGTGTTAGCAGGTGTTTCATGAGTTGTCCTGGCTGATTTCCATCCTCTACACTGACAGTATCTTGTTTATGCAGTCTTTTTTCTAAATGGTATAAAGTTTTATGAAGGTGGAATTCAGTCAGTGGATCATCAGCTAAAATTCATTTGAATCTCTGCTACACTTGATCCAGTGGCGGTCCTGGCCTGTTTGGCGCCCTGGGCGAACACTCCCTTTACCCCTAATCCTAAAGTGTATTTTTATTTTCTTACTCTTCTTATATTTATTGTTTGTTTACTTGCACTGCTGTAACTGGAGCCTCGTCATCTTGTCTCTCTATATACTGGACTGTATGTAGCGTAGATGACAATAAAGTTTATTTTGACTTCAGCAGTGAGCAGACGCACCGAGGGCTCTCGCGCTCACTTTTCGTGTATAGAATTTCGAAAAACATCGGTGCAAATAATAAGTCTGTATCATGATGTCTGGTGTTTTCGTGTTTGTTGGTTTGTTTTTATTTTGTTTTATTTTGCGAGTTGGTTATTAGATGCTGCTCCCC